CTGATGAAGGGTCTAGGCCCGAAACGTCAGCCTTTCTGCTCCTACGATGCTGCTTGGCCTGCTGTGTTCATCCAGCTCTGCACCTTGTTGTCTCAAAGAAACTGGTCATCACTGTGACAATAAGTCACCAACCTGGCAGTGGAGGGAGCACTGTGGCTCGTCACATCCTGTGGGACTTCAGGAAGAGACTGAGAAGTGCAACTGTCAACACTTCAAGCAATGTAACATCAGTCTGTGATAAGGCAAAACAATTACAGGACAATGAAGGGACTGACAATAGGTTACCAGTACTCCTGCTTGTTGAAGATTGTGATGAGGAATACATTGAGGATTTGAAAATCAATCTAGGACAAGCATATGCTACTTGCCTTTCAAAGCCAAGCTTCATTCTTCTGCATTGCAAGAGGTCTACATTATCAGAGACATTTCCAAAGCATCTGACACTGTGCATGTTAACTATAAATTATCAGACAATGAGAAAGTGTTGTTCAGTAGTAAACTGAAAGAACTTAAAATGCAGTACGAAGAAGATTCCATCCTTACATTTGTTCTAGTGACCAAAGAATTTGATCAAAACTATCTTCAACAATCTGTGAAGAAATTGCTCACGAGTATTAATCACATACCTGATGTTCTTGATCTAATTGGAAGCCTTGCAATGCTAAATCATTACGTGGAAGATTCTTACATTACAGAATCTCAGTGGGAGGCATACATAAAACAACATGCACAGTGTCAACGTTCACAGCACCTTTCTTTAGACAGCACACTAAGAAAAGCAGCAGGCTGTCTGCTCTCTTGTTTGCATGAGCCTGAAGCAGAACTCCAGCACATTCGCATAATACATTGTAAAGTTGCAGAAGAAATACTAAATCAGCTGGTGGTGCCACGAAGTCACATTGTTATGAACCTTCTTGAGTGGAATGTATTTTTCAAATCCCAGTCCTCTAAACAAGTCGAGAAATTTATTAGGCAACAGTTTGTCAAAAGAAAAGACAGCACAGATAAGGTCAAGCTTTCATTTCCTCCCCTTATTACACACATTTGTGAAAAAGAGGGTAAAACTAAAGCTGAAGTTGTTCTGGAAAAAGCCTGTGAATGTTTTGATCAGGATGCTTTTGTGGCTCAGCAATTTGCTCGATTTTTGTGTTGTGAGAGAAATTTTACAAAAGCTGAGACATGGGTGCAAAAGGCTCACTTATTACAACCATCCAATTCTTACATTTTTCATACAGAAGGTCAAATATATTGGAAGTGGTTTAAGTCAGTCTTCAGTGTGGAAATGCAAAATACACCACAGCCCTCTGCACAAAGGTTTCAAAAACCAATAGAGCTCGCACTGAAGGCAATTGATGCTTTCGAGAATTCCCAAGAAACAGCCAAGGCAGAATCTGACTGGAATAATGCAGGCTATTTCAGTGAAGTAGAGGTTGGGTGTTATGTTGTGCAGCTTTTGCCTTTGCTTGACATATTTAAAGGCAAGAATGGATGCTACATGAACCTGATAAAATATTTACTGACAGATTGGATCCCAGAAGAAATAGGCAAAACCTGGGACAGTTTCCATCAAAAGCTAAAACGATTGCACAACAACATTTGCAAAGCAATGGAATCAGTTTATGAACGCATGGCCTACTTCCATCCTGATAAACACATTGAGGAGAAGCATTTTGATAACTTAAGAAAAAGTGAAAAACAATTCTCATCTTTCTTCTGTTTCTTGGAAGATTCCAGAGACCAACTGCTGAGGCAAGAAAACTTGGAGCATCTGACACCAATTTTAAAATGTCACAAAATTTATCATCTGGGAGGTGGACGATTCACTAAAATATTTTCTTTAGCCCCTGAAACTTTAATTGAAATAACACAGTTGTGCACTAATAAACATGACGAAAGTGATCTGAGAAACTACATCTTGTCACAGATTGCCCTCGCTGTCCACTCGTACAACTGTTCTGAAGTCAAGATTTCTGAAGAGGAACTTCGTGACTTCAGCCACAGCCTGTGTGCGCTGAATGCTCTAGGACAGTGCCCTGTCCCATATTTAATACAGGTATTATTGTACTGGCCAGAAGCTGAAGCTGACGATGATTCAGGAGAAGAAAACAATATATGTTTAATTAGTGCATTAAATACCATGGACGACCTGTACAATACCAAAATAAAGGATGTCCAGGCTAAGAGAAAAACTACTTGCCCTCATTTCTTCCTGGGACCAGGAACTGGCTTTCAGAGGTTTATCTACAACACATACCTTGGAGATAGTAACCCACGGGAAGTAAATCCGAACAAGCTACAACGCATTGAGGGTTGGACTGAAGGCAATCAGCTTTTTGTCCAGGGGCACTGCAGAGAAAGTAAGATTCCAATTTACTGTGGCCCCAAATGTTTGGTACCATCTGGGAGCACAAGTGCTTCATTCTATTTAGGATTTACATTGCGAGGCTGTGTTGCTTATGACATTCAGTTTGACATCAAGGATGGAGATTTGGAATGAATAATTTGCATTGATGGACTCTTGTCTTTTTGGGCTGATGGTACTCAATGCTGCACAAGCACCATTCATTTTTAAATAATGCAATGGAAAGCTCACATTATGGTAGTACAAAATTTAAGTCTTAGAATTAATATAAATTGTGAGCAATGTAAATTTAAATTTATTAACTGATGGGACTGTGTAGACTTCTTCTAGTAGCTAGGTGGACTAGAATAAGAGAACTGTCGACATGAGATTGAGTATATGAGATGTGGCATACAGAGAAAGGGAAAGCTCTTAATCCAGAAAGTTATAAGTCTGTGAAATTCAATTTCAGATTCAATAACTTAGGCAGAAACTATGCCCGAATTAGCTTAGCTAGATGGTTGAAGGGGTATGGGAACAGGGAACATATATATCAAATATGATATATATCATTTGCTTCCATGGAGGGTAAATTCTGTCACAGACTGATTGAACCCAATGGCTTGCATCTGTATTATAATTTCTAAGTGTTTCCATGACTAACAATGCATGTAACCTGGGTGGTGGGTTGCTTCTGGATAAGGGTTTATGTAAAAGGTTTCTGCTTGTTTTGTTGCGATTACTGTGGTAAATATAAATAATCATTCTATTCTAATGCAAAGACAACATTCTAATGGAACAATGGCTCTTCGTGCAAAATGATAGAATGTCTATTATTCTTGTAACCAGTCGCCCACAATGTAACGCACAAAAACCCTGTTGCACCCACTAAGTAATAATGCTTATCAGTTACTTTGTAGTTATTCAGAAGAATGTAGGTATTTTGTTGCTTTTTGAAGATAAATTCCAAGCCAAAGATAGTGCTAACAATATTTCTTACATCTGTATTAATGCACCGTTTGCCTTTTTACTTTTATTGGTTTAACGAGATTTAACTTTTGTAACAATATATTTCCAAACTAGATTACTAAATGTGTTAATACATTTTTAAATGTTTTTATTGTCAATATATTTTAACTGGACTGTATTTTATCCTACACTGTCCTTTAGCAATGAGCAATGAGCTTTTCTAGGTTGGAAACAAAAGACGTGTGAAATTCTAAAATATTTAAATGTTTTTGGAATCCTGGATTTCTGAATTATATTCAGTAATGAAACTGAAAATGCTGGTCGATGTCTTATTATTAAAATCTGTATTAATAATTCTCAACTTTGTACATGGTGTCTACTTTGTATCACTTTAAGAACAACTCTTTTGGCATATATGGAAATTGGAATACTTAAGTTTTTCAATTATTGGCATACTAATTTTTGTAGTGGCATTATTCTTCACTGCAGTTGGTCACATCAATAGCTGATCTTAGCCAGCACTTGAGCACAAATCTCCAGGCTGTCATGTTAGGGAAGCACTGAGGAAGGGCTGCACTGTTGGTGTAGCCTTTTGGATGAGATGTGAAACCAAGGCTCTGCCTACCCCCTCAGATGGACTAAAATATCAAATGGTGTTATTTCCAACAATAGTAGGAGTGTATTCAGCAACGTTCAAAGCAGATGATCTGGTCATTATCACATTGGTATTTATGGGGAACTTGCTGGGTACAAGTTGAATGTCATGTTTTGTACATTACAATAGTCATTACAAAGGGGGGGTCTACAGAAAAACAAGTCATTTTTAAAGTTGCCAAGTGATGTAAGGCAAGCAAGGAAATTGATATGAAAAAGTAAAACTTAATTATGCAAAAACAAAACCACAAAGGGACAAGTTCTGGTGTGTATAAGGAACTGGTGCTTGTAAATAAATTTAAGGGAATGTTGAAGAATGAGGAACTGGAAAGAAATCAGCAACAGAGTAACATTGAAGCATTGCTTCAATTGAAGCAGAAGTGGCACTCAGATATGGACCAATAAAACATGGAAGGGAAATTTCAAAGATTATTATAGAAAACTACAGGACACAGGAAATAATCGAGCATTTAAAGCTGCAATTTACCAGTGGGGGAGTAGTCCGAGTGATCAAGGTATGAAAGCCTGCATTGACAATCTGCTCTCTCATGATTAACCAGCAGATTAGTTCAACCACTAAATTTCAATTGGTTTTAAAAATGATTTTGCATAACTCTCTGCTGAAAAAGAAGTAATCTGAAATATAGCACATAGATTGATACAATTAAAAGTGGTTTTACAGAGCATATCTAAATGCCTACAAAAAGCTGGGTACTGAATTGAACACAGAAGAAGGCTGTCCTGCCCATCAAATCTGTGCTTGGCTCTTGTCAAGAGCAAGCCAGTTAGATGCATCCTTTTCCCATATCCCTGGGAGTTAATCCAACTCTGCTGCCTCACAGCGCCAGGGACCCGAGTTCAATTCCAGCCTTAGGCAACTGTCTGTGTGGAGTTTGCACATTCTCCCTGTGCCTGCGTGGGTTTCATCTGGGTGCTCCGGTTTCCTGCCACAGTCCGAAGATGTGCGAGTTAGGTGAATTGGCCATGGGAAATGAAGGGTTACAGGGATAAGGTAGGGGGATAGGTCTGGTGGGATGTTCTTCTGAGAGTCGGTTTGGACTCAATGGGCAAATGGCCTGCTTCCACACTGTGGGGAATCTATGATTCTATGATTATTGAATCTGCTTCCACCCATTCTATCAGGTATTGTGAAACTCTGTCATCAGTTGAAACACTAAGCTGCAGATCTCAAGATTGCTTACAGAAGTATTATTAAAACTGCTCCTATGCTCCAGTGTAGCAGCCACATTCCAAACATTGATATAACATTTCGTTGCTTCTGACTTCAGGATATGTAGAAAAAGAACATCTGTTCAATGTCAGGAACCACAAATCATTCCATTTACTGATTTGGCAATCCTGACCTTATGGTGTCCTCCCACTCCTGTGCCATCTTTCCTCTGGGAGATTAGGGAATGGGCAAGGTTCATGTCTCCCAACTCTCTAGGTAAGTGTGAGGCAGTGACAGAGAGCAGGTGGATGGCAAGTTGAGCTGCTTCGAAGGTTACATCCATTCTTTGGGACACTGGCGCAGGCCTGCACATTATTTTTAGGCTCCCTAGCTCTGGCTTCTCATTACGTTACACAGAGGCACCTGCTCTGGCATATCCCCTCCTTACCCCAGTGTACCCTCCACTTCATCCCCTTGCCTATCCTTTCCATTATCCCCATGCATTTCCATGCACCCCTTAGAGGCACAGTAGATTTGAGGGAGTATGGGGGACTGTGAGGGGGCATTGGTAAGACCTTGCAAACTTACCTGTCAAAAAGTTTGCAATCTCTCAACAGGCTTCCCAAGCTTCACAAACTGATTTACTTGCTGGGGTTCCCACAGGCTTCCAAATTCCTCCCATCATGACAAAACTAGCATGGGGGTCAAAATACAAATTTCTACAAGGCTGTTGTCGCAAGATATATGCATGTGGCTGCAGTCTGACAAGTTTGCCCTGGGCTAGGCAATGGAGTGGTAAGTTTGAAATTTTAGCCTTGCTGACCTCATTTTACCCATTGCTGATTCAGTTTCAGGTAGGTGCAGGAAGTAAATTCCCACCCCAATTACTCTTTCTCTGGAATAGACACCTGGACAACTTTTCATTTAAAAAAAATGACAAGACACATGCTTGTGCAGTTACTTATTTGCAGGAATATATTTATTGATCAACATATAAGGTCACATGAATGACCAATGTATTTAATAGCAAATTCAAATTTAATCAAAAACAATTCAATCCAAAACAGAAAGCTGATACATGTCAGTTACAAAATAATCAAATTGGGATAGCATGTCAGTTTCCCCCAGGAGGAGGTCTCCTTTCTGGTTGTGAAGTTTCTGGTTTAGTCATTTACTGTACTCATACTGATGGGCACATACAACAGCTAGGCCTTGCACTAAAAAGGATTGACCAAATCTTTGGTCTGTTCAACGCCTTCTGTCTCTTAGAATTTGAAGAATTCTATATCCAATTTTAAACTAATGATCATGGTAAACTGGAATAAAGATTGACGTCTAGAAGCCCCAGTGTATTAATTCAGAGAAATAGACAGACATCGCTAAAGTAGAATCAATTTGATGAATAACAATATGCAACAAGTGCCATTATTGTTCTCTTAACTGGAAGACAACCTTACATTAGTTGTGATGGAGGTAAACTGGTTTTGCAGCTTGTGTTGTGGAACAAATGGTATTTGGTGAGAACAATTAATTTTTTTTAACAACACTGGTTGTGTGGTTATTTTGTAAAGAGAATGATTATTCAGTCATTTCAGTCTGAGATGGTGTGAACGCTTTGAAATTGTTTGAATTTCTTTGAAATAATCATATGGAGCTGACAAAGGACTTCAACCTTATGACTGAATTATAACATTAGGTTTGCTACATCAGAAACTCTAAAAAGTCAATGCATCAGCGTTGGCATTTGCTGCACCAACTCCACAGAATTTTTATTCCAGCATCTTAAATTTCATCTGGTTTAGCCAAGGTTAAAATCAGTCTTGCCATATAATTCTTTCTTGTATTCTCTTCACAGATTGCACCATTTGTAAGAAACAACTAAAGTTTCTTTCAATCTAATCCTTGCAAATTATGTAAAATATCAGAAATTGCACATATATATATTTTGAAACATTCCCTAATAACTAATTACATGTTGATTTATGGGTACTTGCAAGTTCTTGCACCTATTAGTGAGATTGATGTTTTACAAGAACAGAACTCAATATTCACCCCATTTTTAAAGTATTCATGTTTTAATTACTTCAATATTCATTCTACCAATCCCGGACTATGAAAAGAGAATCCAAATGATGGAGTCAGTATTTAGTTGGAGCTTATATCCTACAGGACATGACTATGACCTTACGTTTGGCTTTCACACATATATTTCACACGTTTATATTTAAGATAGAGTAGACCAGCTCTCATTATCAACAATGTCATAATTTAAGTTATGTTATTATTGCAAATTGAAATAATTTTAAGTTGGTTGTATAGAAACACATAGCACAGTTCATATCAAAAGGCAGACATCAATCATACAATAGATGATTGGTTTTTAGTCATACTGGAACAACAAAGAGGTAAAAATAAGGTTGCGACTGTTACAATCCAACTCTGTTGAAATTAAATGCTTGTTATCATTGAGTTGTCATTATTTTGTTTATATCTCCATGATATTAATACTCTAACATAAAGGGTCATTTGTTTCAGTTTACATTCTTATTTATGTCTAATATGGACAATGCAAAATTACTGTTGCAACTTGCGAATCAGGAATAAGAATCACACACATGATGAAAAATCTCACAAACTATTTTACAAAAAGATATTTTGGTTTTCATAAAGACTCATGGGGTAATATTTTGAGCAAGTTATTGACTAATACAGATTAAATATTACATCATTGTAAATCTAAAATGATCAATCATTTTCTATAAATTTAGCAAGTTTCCAACAAGTTTTAATCAATTTATAGATAATTGCATTATTCTGACAAGAATTGTTTCTGAGAAAATTCCATATCTTGCATCTTAATATTTCTATGAAAATTGAATCTTTAACCACCACTAATAGTTCAAGTTTTTTTTTCAATACTTATTCAGTTACCAGGGGATGGAGTAAGGAACTTTTCACTCTGCATAAAGTGAGATAAATAGATATCATTAAAAATGCAGTTATTTTGAACAATGCATTAATAGGTGAATAATGGGAGAAATATGAGATAATATTAAGTATCAATTAATATTATTCCAGGTTATTATTACACAAATCCCATATTCTTTTACAAACTGGAAAACAAAATCAATTTAAAGTGAATAAAATGGAAATATAGTCCTACACTCAGATTTCAGTCTTGAATGAAATTTAGTAATAATATGTAAGTAAATATGGTGTAGTCCTGCAATAGGGCTGCTCTCTCATTAGAGAGTGAGGAAGAGATGATTGGTGGTGGTTGACCCTGCCTGAAGTCACCATACCGCAGGCAAGGGGAGAGGTTGAGAAAGCAGGACCTTAATGTTAACCACAACCAGTAAGGAAAGTGAACGCATGCTGTTGGCATCATTCTGCATCGCAAACCAGCTGTCTGGCCAACTGAGCTAATCAATCTCCTGTAGTCTGGTAATTTTGAATTAATTAACATTTCATTCTCAATTAAAATTACTGTGGATTAGCAATTACAAATTATAGCTTCAGAAGGCAAATAGTTATAGCAAACACATTCAGTTGTTGTTTCAAATAAGACTTTACCACTTGTTACCCTCTTTTACCTGGCAAACTAATTCCACATAAGGCTACATTTCCTTTGTGCAATAAAACTGCTCAATGATTTCTTGGTACAATTATTATACAAATATGGGCAGAAATAGTATGATTGAAGATTGCCTATGATTGAAAATAGTTTTATTTCATTTCCAGAGCAATTGGATTTACACAAATAATTTATCAGAGAAGAGCAGCTTTTGAGATCTCATCCAGACTTTCAATGAGTGATAGCAAGAACTGTCAAGGAAATTATAAGCGTTGTGGATAGGCCTATCATATTAATCTCATATATCCTAAAATAACCAGTTATGTAATACAGCTTCAGATATTTATTGGCAAGGTACCTGTCTATTATGTGAGCGATAATTATTCTGAAAGGTTCAGAGAAGGCAAATAGAACAAAAACAAAAAAGATAGAAACTCAATGGGTCAGGCTGAAAGCACTAATCAGGTTACATTTCAGGTAGAAACACTTTCTCAGGACTAAAGTATGGATTGAAACAACATGAGCACCAACACCAGCAACAGCAACAGCACCAACACCAACACCAACACCAACACCACCATCATCACCACCACCAACACCAACACCACCATCGACACCACCACCAACACCAACACCAACACCACCATCAACACCAACACCAACACCAACACCAACACCAACACCACCATCAACACCACCATCAACACCACCATCAACACCAACACCACCATCAACACCAACACCACCATCAACACCAACACCACCATCAACACCACCACCAACACCAACACCAACACCAACACCACCATCAACACCAACA